TGTATTGTGTGTAGAAGACGGTCGTATTGTAGACTATAAACTTAACGAGAATTTAACAGGCACAAGTCTGGAGCTAGCTATTTAATATTGAGTCCGAATCTTTAGATTGAAGTCATATTCTTCAGATTTAGTTGTAGGTTCAGCAATGATAGATGGATTCTAGAGATATCGTAATTTTGAATTCCCCTTTTTTCAATGATTTCGATATTTAGATATTTAGAGGTTGCAAACTCTGTGTACGCTTAAAGTTCCTTTTCAACAACAGTAATCGAAGTATTCTAGTCTTTTTAAAGGATTAATGATATCATCCGATCTAAAATGGCGTCTAATGACGTACTTGGTAACGTATTTTACGATTCGGGATTAATGCACAGCTAATAACCTGATACCATTTTTCATTATGAAAAACTTACTCACTTATAATTGATATACTTCCTCATATGAAAAGTTCATTAACTGCTTCCAATGTTTCGCCAATATGTTGTTTTGGGTTTTGAGTTTCGTTTTGCGGTTCAGATTGTTAGTTCTTGGTTTATTTATTAACATAGTTAAATTTCTTGAATCTGATTTGTTTATTTCTTTTCAACCACTACAAAGTCTATTAGTCGGAGATCTATCGTGACTAATTTCCAACATTTTCTAATTTCCGGTATTCACTGAATGCGCTTCCGGTATTTAATCTGTGTCGTGTTGTTTGGTTTCCTTAGTTTCCTGAAGACTGTATACCATGTTAACAATAGCTGGTATTAAACAATGGTTAGAACTCTAATCAGCCGTAACCATAGTAATAAACATTATTAGAATTGTTAACCATTGTCGTAAATAAATCTCAAATTAAACAAGTTCTTATCACGAGCGTTCGTAATAAAATAAGATTATATAAAGGTATTGTTAAAGGGAAGTAAGATAACTGTTGGGCGAGAAATCAATACCGGACATTTGGTCAACGGAATACATGTTTTTAAAAATATTACTGATGTTTTAAGACATAGATATTGAGATAACCCGCTTTATTCTTACGAGAAAATACTTCCATTAAAGAGACGCCATTTTCGGGGGTTGATGTGAATCTTGAATATATGTTAATAGTCTTCAGAAGTACTATAAATGTACGAAAATCACATAATTCCTTCAAAAAAAATACTTCAAATTATAGGTATTTTACTCACTGTTTTTCTACATGTCTTTTCTATATATCACAGAGTAGCCTATCTTAAATTGTCGAGTCGTCATTTTAACATTCAAACGAAAATTTAAAAATAATTCTGAACACACATGGATTTAAAGGCTCAAATTTCGACGGTGAGCTGTGAACACTATTTCTGATTAGCTCAGCTAAAAAAATCCCGTTTCTGAAACTAAAGTATGATTTGTAAAAAAAAAAAAATGGCGCACCGTCCCTTTAAGAGCAATTAATCAATTTATTTTCAATGAAGCACTAAGCTAGATAATTTGGAGAAGTTATTTTTTGAAATAGACAGATGTTCATTTCATAAATGATTAGAATATCTCCTTTCGCCAAAAATCGCAAAAGAGCAGGCTAATGCCGCTGTCCTGGCAAAATTTCCCTCATTGACCCTGCATGGCGATGCCCGTCTTCATTAGACCACATGGTGCAGAAAAGTAGGACGTAAAACTCAATTCATTTCACTTCATTTCCTTTAGCCAAACAGACCATAAGTTCGTCTAGAGCGAGCAGTAAATTACCTTTGAAACACTTGAAAAAGTTACTTGCTACTGAATCCTGCATCGAGTAAAGGCAGCAGTTATTTAACGTACGAACACGGTATTATCTTGTCCTGCCTAGAGGTAATTAATAAAGCGAGCAGTAATTGGAAGCTAAACAACCAATTAATTATAACGAGGTAGATTGAAGTGTAAGGAATTCTATAATATATATTGAAGATATTGTCGCGTATTGTCATGGTAATTTATTTATCCTCTAGGTGATCGTTATAGTTATATCGTCTGTATTCAGACACTGTAAAGCCTGCTACAGACGTGAGGGAACTAGTTGAGTTGCCTACCTCGAGAGGCTGTCAGCTGAGCAACATATCTTTCACTGCATACGAGAGCTCTTCTCACCTGAGCTATTGTCTCACTAGAAAATCTTCGGCCAATTTTGTACGTCAACGAAAACAACTGAAGAACGTTCGAACTGCATCCGTGTCACGTATCTGATCAAAATGGCCTCATCTCCTTGTTTTGAAATTCCGCAGAATTAACAGCGTATAGACACGGGTCTTCTTAAACTACATCATTCATCGTTACCATAATGAAGCCACGTGATCCGCCAACGCGTTTCTATTGGTTTTTAACACTTAAAAAATAAGGAAACCCATCTTTAAAGGTGCTAAATTACAGTTTTCCTGGTAATAGTAGGAGTGCAGTTTAAGCCGATTCTATTCAATTTAAAGAAGGTGATCAATGTTATTGTTAATTTTAGAACCCAGTCTCGAAATCAGAAATGAGGGTTGACAGAGGTCCTTTACCGGAGATATTATTCTGTAGGATTGTCGTCTGCCGTAGATTCAAATCTCCTTTGGGAGATCTAAAACCTAAAACCTAAAAGATTCGAAGGAGAGTGTTTCCTATCAAAGGGTAGACATTTTGACGACGGAAAAACCCCCTTCGCTATAGTTAGTTGGATTTGAACTTTGAGATATTTTGGAAATGCCCGTCAGATATCTACATAAACATTTCTTAGATGGAATTTGAAAATAATATTGATCTACAAGATAAACTGATATATATCCATACAATCTGATTGAGACAGCTTGGAACGATAACCTTAACGATATAATCAACTTCGTTTTCAGCTTCAAATGGTGAAGAAGAAGAATTCAAAATGTTCGGTATATTATTCGGTAGTGAAAAGTTCACTGCTTAATTCGAAAAATAACTTTAAGATTTAATAGATGACGATCTCAAGGTTGTCTAATTAACGAAGACAGTGCTCTCCTTTTTCATAAGGTGGTCTTCTGTGATCCTCGGCTATCAAAAGACGCATGTTTGAAATTTCGTTTCGTTTGTTTGTATGACATTTTCCCTGAAGAAAAAATAAAAAAAATGATAAAAAAACTGGATCCTTTTAACGTTTACATTTATTTCATTTCGTTTGTTTTCATCGTGACATTTTGTACGTAGTCTAACTCGGCCGAGAGATAGAAAGAGTTTTAATCAGATTACCAACTCTCTACATTATTGATTTCCTACATAACATCGTGTGACCCAATTTATACTAATTAAAAAGAAAATATTTCAATTTGATTTCATTAAAAATATATAAAGAATAAAATAATCATAATGAAGAGAATCCGCCATGTTTACTCCTTGACAACACGTATTCTATTATCTCGTTATTTCTCACGATATATCGCGTGTCTTTAATAGTTTCAATTGGAAAGAAACATAGATTTATTCTAAAAGAATGAAAAAATAATGAAAATCCACAAATTTCAATTAAAATTGAATCTGAATTGAGCAGAGAAAATGTTGAAAGAATCAAATTCATTAAAATAAACCATTGAACTTGTCTTTTTCTACGAAATCTCAACAGAAATTCTGTTGTGTGTTCTGAAAGGGATAAATCCGCCATTAGTCTAAATACTGGCTTAGCTTGATTTAACGGCATTTATTAAGAGTGTATGCGAATATCTGTGTTGGTTGCGGTGGTGGCTCACTGAGTTAGACGTTTGCTCGCTTACCTGAAGGTCCAGGGTTCAATCCAGGTATAGGTCGAGATAATACCTTCAGATTTTCAACCTGGTTTTCTCCTGTCAGTGATGCAGGTTGACGTGGATAACCGAAAAAGAGTTGGCGTAAGCCGCATGCTGTCTTTTCCCTCATTATACACTGCATGGCGTTGCCAGTCTTCATTAGCTCAATTAAATGTAGAAAAGTAAGACGTAGATCTCCATTTCATTTTATTTTCTAGTAACTGTGTTGAATACAGTATGAGATATTGAACCGTGGTCTATAAATAAAGTCTAATTAATTAATTACCGCCAGGGTTTTAATTAACATTTTATATTGTTTACTTTTCATTTATCATTAATAGACCTTCCTTTATTCCTTACTTTCAATTTCTTCAGTCTTTAACAAACGTTTCAAGTTTTAATTTTTTTTTATCTGAATTTTCCTTAAAAGACTTGTCATCAAAACATTTGTGTCGATATTATTTGTGAGTTTTATTGAAGATTTTACATCAAAACATATTTTAATTAAACTGTATTGATTCCAATAAGAAATTTTAACAAAATAGAAACAAATGTCCTAGATTTGATCAATATACTTAATTTTGAGATGAATTGCCTCCCTTGAATCAACAAAAATGATCCTATTAAGGAATTGGTTGTAGTTTAGGTTTTTGTCTGTAACAGATTTGGTGGTAGTCTGGTTTAGTACTACTTAGGGTCCGGAGGGGCAATGGTGTTCGGTGTTTAGTTGCAGTAATGGAATTGGGCGGTTGTGGGTGGGGGCTATCCATTTTGTTACCAATTCACTATCATGGATCCACGCCAGTTATGTTACTAGTCTACGTCAGTTTTCACATTCTGATGCCACTATTCGGCTTCTACCATGTAAGAATGGCTACGGTACGGTCTTCACTTTCAGATTAGAATGTTTGACTAAATAATAACACACATATAAACTATACAATATAATATAAATAACGTATTGAATAATATCAAACAAAGGTCACGGGGTTAGGAAACACGTGCGTGAAAATTTAAATAATTAATTAAATAATATGAATAATTAACAATTTCATCCAATTAAAATATCGTAAATACCAAATACATACGTTCCAATATATTACTGTAGATCACCATTTTGATGCTGTGTGTGCCACAAGTCGTTTGTCGAACGAGCTCAATGCTGTTATTTACCGAGCTTTTAGATAATTTACAACGTTGGATGTTCAACTCCAGTCTCAAGTTCAATTCGTCATAATTGTTGCTAAATTTATTTTCCTCTTTTTCAGAAAATGACCTAATATGGATCTGTATGGTGTCGTCTGGTTGTTAGCCATTTTGCAGGAAGTGACGTCATGTTTTCTTACGGAGAAATTACCTAGTTTAGAGGGCAAGGAATGGTTCACAAAAATCAGAAGTGGAGGATCTAATGACGTCATTGCGTATTTTGACCGAAACAGTGTGACGTTTAATGACGTCAAGAATACTACTAATGGCGAAACAAAATGGCGATGTTTTATGAAAATTCGCGGTCGATATTTCTTGAAGAATGTGAGACAAGGCGGTGGATATCTGTATAAGTGTATGGGAATAATAGTTCGATCAGAATCTGCAATCCAACTGGAGTGGTCTCATGTTAGTAGACTCGCTGACCCAGCCTTGTGTGCTGAAGAAAATATTAACTTGGATCCATGGTTATTAATTTCGTATAAAACGGTAGTGAATGATTTTACGTCATGCCCGGTGTCAGGCGGATTTGATATAAAGCATGCTGGGTATTACAGTCGTGATGTTCGAGACTCACGTGGCTATGATATTGGATGTAATCTAATGAATATACCAATGCGATTAGAGTTCGATTGTATCGCTGGTGAGGGCGCCATTTTTAATTTTCGCTCTAAAAATTGTGTACCTGATATCCATTTTAATATTTATCAGAATACTATTTGCGTTGCCAAGTGGAGCAATAAACGCCACCATTTTGTTTTATTACGCACGAAAACTGGATTAGAATTTTGGTGTGCCCGGTTTCCTGTCGGAATCGAAAATCAAAATGAAACGGAACTATATTTATACTCGGATGTAGCTTGCCTCGAAGGTGAATATGCGGAGGAATTTGTGAAATTTATGAAATTTGACCTCCAAAGGGTCATGTATACTACAATATGTGCTGATGAATATCCTCAATGTAAGGAGGGGACGTGTAATGTGTTTTCTAAGCTGGAGTGTCAGAAAACATGTGGTCTCTGTAATCCGCATCGTCCGCCTGGAATTTGCACCTTTCCTAAACGCATGCAGGGAACCTATCTCTTGCACAGTAAACATGGCAACCAGAACGTTACCTTGGAAGGTCGGACCTTAAATATAGAAAATGTCGGACAGTTCGATTGTATCGTCTTCGAAGACAGTCCACTTCGGTCTACTAAAACATACACAACAATGTCTATTTTTCAAAATGGCTGCCGACCTAGATACACGTGCGTCAGATTAAAGCGACTAGGACCTTCCGCTTTACGATATTCATTAGCTCAAAATTTAGTGTGGCCAATCAAAAAGGAGAGAATTGGCGCTAATATTTGTAACGAGGACAATTTTCGCGCCGATGGTGACCCAATTCGTGATACGTTTAGGTCATATAAAAAGACTGGTAAACCAGTGATAAAAATTCACCCGAAGCCTAGATTTATCAACTGTGGAATGAACACGTCATATACAATACGTGCTGAACTACCAGACGGCTCAATCTGCCATGGCGGATTTTATCAACATTGTAAAAACGAGACAAAACTACGTTTCGACTTTCATACATGTAATTCCTTTATCAAACCCAAAGAAGACTTCAACTGTGCTGGAATATTTCGGACTAATTATTGGGAGCGCGCCGTGTTGATACAGAATGTAGACAATCTGAATGATATTCGGTGTTTAATATTCAACAGTTTACGACCATATCAAGCCTTAATCGTAGTCGCAGACGAATGTGATAAAATGGCTTCGGGGTTAGTCGACAGTAATATCCGAATACCCATCATGAGGTTGCATATTCGCTCTGACGTTTACCCATGCAAACACATACAACTGCCTTTAAAAGATGACGTCATCACTAATGTCGTGACGACGACTGAGCCAATCAAAATGAATGTTACTTTGAAAGAAAGTAAAAACGTGAATTCGTTCTCTGTGGATTTAGAATTGAGTTCAAGGAATTCATCAGGTTCGCGGCCTTTTGAAAATAAATTAAACTCTTTATTGTTACTGTTTTTGTGTTACGTTGTTTTTGTTAAAAACTTATAATCTGTATGTTAAAGAGATTGTAAAGAGATTTTCTAAATTTTTTATGTGTATCAAGGACACTGATAGCACCAATTTGCACCATTCCATTTTTCAATCAGACGTCTGTGATTCCTACAATTCTACTAAAACTAAGTATTTTATGACGTCACTAAATCGCAAAACATGCTTGTATCACCTAAGGCCCTTCACAATTAGTGACGTCATCGAACAAATTAACAAATCGATGCAATCAGTGTATCCGATACATATAACACATTTAGAACACCTCCTTACAATCCTTTTTTTCCCCAAAATGTACAAAAATGTATAAAGTAGATAATATAATACTATCCAATGTATTGTTATTCGTTATAAAATGATGATAAAACTTGTCTATGTCCGTCTATTGGTTTCTTTATGGAAGAGTTTTAGTGCAAGAGTAGCTTCATTGAAGCTCGGACAATAGTTAGTTATTCGATATTGATAATAAACCTAGGCATTGTAGAGTTTGATTGGTCAAATACAAATGTTCGTTAGGACCATAAGAGCAAATAAATAAACTACAGTTACAGTTTTTGGAAGTTAAATCCGATTGTATTGCATCTACCAACAACTACCTAGTCTGTAATATTAGTTGGCTGGAAGCGGAGGATAACTTGTAGCGTACCAAACAACCGACCAATCATTTTTTAAAAGTCCGACCCGCCCCCTACGCTCTCTGACCATCACTGGATAGCTAAAGAAATGGACCCTTTGTGTGTAAAGGAGTATTTGCCCTTTAAAAATCTTTTCCATAGCTTCTTTTATGTTGACACACATAATATAATAATTGGCCATCGTAAGATCTGGATTTACTGAATCACGTTTATTTGTGTTTTGTTTGCCCTAGATTTCACCATACTAGTTTTCTCCACCTGATTTACTACCCGGGTCAAATTTGAATATTGATTACACCTTTATTTATAACCTGTCTCCCTTTGTCATCACAAAATAAAATCTTTTTAACTATTTCAAAGAAAGCAGGCATGATTTATTGCCCTTGATCTGAGAATAATATACTGATATTAATATAATATATACTATAATATATTGTTTAGTAATATTCAATCGTTATGTTTATCGTATTAAAGGAGTACAAACACGTAGAAGAAGGTACAAGTAGCCGTCATTTCCAGTAGTGTATTAAGGGGGAGGGACATTGGGTCATGACCTACCCCTCGGGTCTGTGATAGGTCTTATTTTGAAGTGAATATTAAGCCCTCTAAATGCTCAAAATTCATCTCAGGCTATCTGAAATCCGTTGGCTTCTTGAGGGCCTTTGGTAGATCCCTGGCCTCGCCTGGGAGAGACACTCATTTTTGGCCCCCTTCTCAGGCATTTTGTAGACGTAACCCTGATCATTTCTCAACCAGTTGTTCTAATGAAGGATTTGACACCAAAATCACACACTAACGGTTTTAATGACATTGACATTTGACCAATTATCGAGTCTAGTATATATATAAATATATAATCGCAAAATATGCGTATATCACAATATAAAGCCCTTCGCAATTAGTGACGTCATCGAACAGATCAATAATATATGAAACAGGTCAGACAAACAACAACGATTGTTCCGAGATATTGTCGAGACAACTAGAATCTATCAAAACAAACCAAGAGAAAATTAAATATGGATTAAATAACAACTTCATCTCTCGAAAATAGATTAAAAGTGTTTCATTTTACCAAGAATTGATGACAACCCTGGTTACTTATATATATTTAAAAGAGCGCATTCGCAATCATTTTTGTTTAAGCCAATCAGCAATCAGCAATAGTAACAAATAGTCACTCAAGATCATGATGAAAAATCCATCACCCGGCCAGCAGGTTTGAAAATGGGATGTTGATTCTGAAATATAAGATTATCATATCCCCTAAACAATGTGAAGTGTTTTTGTGCACTATACTAGCGAGGCATGGATCAGCAACCTATCACGTCTGTACACACACTTGTTTCATGTTGACATTATTTTACAATAGGGTGTTAGCCTTTTATACAAAATGTGCATATGATCTTATCTTAGTGCAGTTACACTGGTAATAATATGAAAAACAACTCAAAAGATAGAGATATAGAATAAGATGAAAAGACATATTTTATACAGATAATTAGTCTAAGATAACTTCTTTAATTAAACCTCTTGGGTCGATTAGAAAAATAAGGAAAGATGGTTTATTCAATATTTCATTTACAGCTGGGTAGACTGGAATAATGAAGAAAGATGACTTATTCAATACCCATTTACATCCATCCTCCCAGCTTGTCCTTGAGCAAACCTCTTGGTATGGATCTTCCCAATATTATCCATATTCATATACAGCTGGTTCGACTCTTTCCATCATATCATGAAATCTGTCCCCTAATGATTTATCACATTAAGATATGACGGAGCCTCAAGTGGCCAAACCTTGATTTTGTGGACATTGTCGTAAGTTAATCCCCTCAAACTTTGTGTAATCTTATCCATATTTCAAGCGATTGATCTACATTTTAAAAAGGGCAACATTTCATCTAAAGTTAAAGCTAGAGTGTCGTATGATGACTTCATTCTGAAATGAAGCTATGACTGGTGCCTGTCTGCCTGATACTACTTTTCATTATGAAATACTTACTTTATTATTGATATACTTCCTCATAGGAAAGTTCATTAACTGCTACTAATGTATTGCCAATTTGAGTTTCGATGTGCGTTAGTAATGGTTTATTCTGCCAATCAAGGTAGTATATAAGGTATTCAGTGTCATTGTCAACTATCTCAAGATCTAACTTGCTTTATTTACATTGGTTCTACGGAAATGACAAAGTAGTCTTGATTATCCGTTCCCCTGTGCTATGTCCGGTATACAAACTTTACAACTGCTTCAGGAGGATCTTCTTTACCAGCTGGTCCTCAGTCAAACCTTTTGGTATTGATCTTCCCCGCATTTTCCATACCCAATTACAGCTGGAAAAATGAGGAAAGGTGACTTATTCAAGGTCTCCACACTTCCACAGACCGACTGAAATTAAAACCAACGACCAATATTGTTCAACGCCATCAAGCAAATGATATCATACAAAAATTTCAACGCTACAGTCCGCCGTCCATCTGATTATATAAGACGCTAATTTCTGTCCATTAATCTCTTGATTTTGTTTTTAATTACGACAGATTAAATAAAAGGAAATTATCCTCGTGATTTGCCTTGTTGAATGACTGTCCTATATTTTTACTTCTATATTTTATACACCGGCTCGTATTACATCAAACTTACTAGTTCACAAATACTCAGTGCCCTTTTACAGTCGGTACATATTGTACTCTTCAAAAGGTTTGGTTATGTCAGAAATATTCATATACCTGAAAGAGATTAAATCCTAAAACTGACTATTTAAATATATCTAGTATTTAAAGAAACTTTAGGACCTGGTTATATGTGGCGGGTCAGCCCGGTAAGCCGGATCTGACGTCACTCTAAGCAATTTCTACGGATTTACTCAAATGCATTTATATGGAAGGCGGACCAGCCCAAGCAGCCGGGCTCCCCGGTCTGTAGATAAGGATGACAAAGTAAATTTGTACGCAATAAAACTCAAGAGTAGTATACTGCATAAAACAATGCAAATGCTGAAAGAGCCCAGAAGTATACTATATGTATTTGCATTTCCTTATTTAAGCCTCTGTGTTATATTCCTTAGAGATAGGGTCCAACCAGACTCTCAGGGGGCGAGGGGGAGGGAGGGGGAGGGAGGGGGTGGGGGTGTCTAACTATAGCTGACCAACTGACTCGAGTCTGCCTCGTGTGCTTCCAGATGGTGATTTCAAGGTCCAATTCATTCGAAAACATTAATTGCCGCTCGTAGATCAGTAGTATACACGAGCCCACAGAACTTCGTGAACAACTATAACTAATTCATTGATTACGGATATAAAAGGACCAAGAATTTATGAACTTGCACTGAATATCCCCTTAAATGGAAAATTTCAAAAGAGGGTCTAAAAATGGACATGACATCTCCCCCTCGTGATCGGGGACCTTCATGAATCATGGCTAGTTTGTAAACAGAAAGGTGGACTATAAATGGGGCAACTTATACAAGTAATTTAGATGATCGTTTACTAAGGTAAGTGAATATGTACCTAAGATATTATATTGTTTATTATTATACTATTCAACAAAAACCTTAGTTCATTTCTATTTATATTGTTTCGTTTTGGTTTGGTTCGGTTGTTAAAGAGATTCTAAAAGTTTTTAAAAAAATTTATATGTGTATCTGGGATTGTACCATTCCAGTTTGTCTGTAAAACGTCTGTGATTATTGTAATTCCTCTAAAACTAAGAGTTTATGACGTCGCTATCACAGAGGCCTTAAATATTATTAGCACCTTTTGCGATAGTGTTGCCATAAAGGCTTGGTGAAATTGTAAGAACTAATGGTTTTCAAAATGATTCGAGTAACTCATGTCGTTCAATTTGCCTTTATTAAGCCTACACTGCCGCCGTGCACCCAGTTGTGTTACTATGAAATATTAGTTGAGGGTGGGGGTATGCTCCCTTTGCCCCTGTAAAAACGCCTCTGGGTGCACCTGATTAAAAAATAAAAAATCTTCCAAAATCATTCGGAACTCTGATATGACGACTTTCCTTTTTCAGAGTTTTATATGCTAACAGAAGAGAACAGAAATGTTTCGTCTAGTGATATTTGTGACTCTATTAACAGCAATCTGTGGATATTCATATTTCCAAGAAAAGATTCCCAATGGAGATTTTATTCCTCATCCCTGTAAACCAAACTTCGTCTGGAAAGGAGTCGGACATCAGAACTGGGCCGGGGGTGGACCGAGGAATCAATTTGGTAAAGATTTCCTAGCAGCAGGGAAGAAGGTTAGTTCAATATTTATTCTTACTCGTGAAATTTTATGTTACAGGATGGAATTTTCTCAAATTTTTGTCATAAAAATGTTTGTGAAATGGGTGGCCTGTCATCTTATAAAATGATGCAATTCATCTGGTCTAATAATGTAGCTCTGTAATGCCAAAATTAGCGGTTGCAAGCGACATCTTTTTGCTCCTGTACTTTTCCATGGAAGCAATTTCATGACATATATCAACTTTTTGTAAAGGAGTTATAAATAAACCAAGTACTAACGATCCGAACTTCAGAACGAAACCCGAAATCCAAAATAACAGTTTGTCGAATTAATAACAGTTAATGAACTTTTCACATGAGGAGGTATATCAATCATAAGTGAGTAAGTATTTCATAATGAAAAGTGGTATCAGGTGAAAGGGTAAACATACCCTGCCTGGCGCCACACCCACCATAGCTGCTCAACATACACAACAAACAATTTAAGTTGTATTACTTCTACTCTGTATCAGATGAGTTTGAGAAATGAGAAAATGTTTCCATATCAAGGGAGGTAATGCAATATGTGCAAATTAATTCTCACCACGGGGTAAGTGACTGTACACATTCAGCACAGTAGCTGTACGTTAATGAAAAGTACTCATAATCATAATTTACGGCTGAGGCAGTTTCGGGGTAAAAAAAAATGCCACGACGCCCCCAAGGATACTTTCAATGGTACTGGAGATGTCCATCGTTATACGTTTTGCAGTTCGGATCGTTAGTACTCAGTTTTTCTGTTTACAGTTATTCCAGTGGACAGAAGAATTGTGTAGAAAAGATTCGGATGCTGATGGAAAGACTAACGGTCAAGAATTGGGTGATCCAAACTGTATCTGGAGACCAGGAACCGTCCCCGAAGGAACTGTGACAGGAATCTCCCACCCAGGGGTTTGTGATCCGTGGGGTAGTCCACAGTGTAAGGATAAGAATGACTGGGTGTCTTGTGAAGGTGATGAATTTAACTGTCCAGCTATACACGAGGAAGGTAAGACTTATAGTGGCGCAATTGTAAGTTGAAATGTAAGTTCATAATGTTCCTTTAACTTATCTGACAGTTTAAACTACAGGTATATTACTGTCACTGTATACAACGACCACAATGCTAATTTCTACGTGTGTGATACCCCTGGAAACTGCATAGAAGTCTTAGTCTTCAGAAGTAAGCGCATTGAATTGAAAGGCTATTTAGCAAAAGAGGAGAAGTTGAAATTTACGAAAACAAGATTCTCGCCATGTATACATGAACTTTTTATTTTAGGAGTCATGACTAAAGAATTAATCTATCCCCGGACCAACGTACCAGCTAAAGACACAACTTATATGTGTATGGGATTTGAATTACCTAGTGATGGAGACTACCATATAATCGCGACTACACCGATAATTAATGAAAGTAGAGTGATGCATCATATTGTGCTGATTGGCTGTGATGAAGATTGTAAGTTTCTCTGTATAGGCTAGAACACTTTCCCTCGGGTTTTTAAGGTATATAAAACCCACTTTCCGAGGCATTTTCCGAGGGAAGTGTTTTAAAATATCATAAAAACCCGTGAGAAAGTGTTTTATCTGACTTATAAACCGACACGGATTAAATTGTTTTTTAAATAATCATGAACTAAGGGGCGCAACTCGTGACTCAGACAGTTCATTAAGCGGCGACCAGTGAGCTAGACTTAATATTTGTAACACATTGAATTTTGAAAAGACAAAATGCATTATTGAAACATATCTTGACCAAGCTGGTGTCCCAGGTGTTAAAAAAACTTGCTCTATCATTGGGGAATACGTCTAAAACATTCAAGACGTTCTTTGGAAAGGGGTGCAACTCGTATTTACCAATCTGTCAATTTAATCGGCGACCAGTGAGATAGACTTTCTATTTGAGTAGGCCTTCTTAAAGGAGCATCCTTAACAATTTGTCCAACCAATCATACTTTAGTTTCAGAAGCAGGAATTTTTTTAGCTTACATAATCAGTAATAATGTTCACAGCTCATCATCGAAATTTAAGCCTTCAAATCTAGGTGTATCCATAATTATTCACGTTTGAAAGTTAAAGTGAGACTATGCCATAATAGAAAACACATATATAAAAATAGACAGTGAAATTTCTAGTTTGAAGTATATTTGAAGGGATTATATGATTTTCTTGCGTTTTAGTATTTCTTAAGACTATTAAAGAACAATAAAGACCCAAATCAATCCCTGTAAATGACGACTATAATATATTATTTGTTGTAACCATGTTTCTAATTTTAGCTGAAGTAATTGACAAACCTCGTGAATGTTCTATGGGTCTTAGAGGATGTTCTACAACAATTGGACTTTGGACTCTGGGACTACCAGGAGAATGTTTCTATAAAGAAGCTGGTATCAGAATGGGAATGAAAGGGATGAAGAGGGGTGTTTTACAGGTAAAATCATGGTTATTCTGTAGACTGAAGACTTCCAGTTCACATTGCTATACATTTTTTTGTGAAATCAATAATTTATTCAAATTATATTAAAAGATATACATTATGAAACTGATAGGGGAACAGGCTTCGCCTATATTACTCCTCGTGACCATTTGACCAATTGTGTAAATGATTGTTCAGGGCGGTGAAAGGGTTTTAAATGATTGTTTAGGGGGTATGAGGGGTCTAAATGATTGCCAGGGCGGTGTGAGGCTTTTTAATGATTGTTTAGGGCGTATGAGGGGTCTAAATGATTGCCAGGGCGGTGTGAGGCTTTTTAATGATTGTTTAGGGCGTATGAGGGGTCTAAATGATTGCCAGGGCGGTGTGAGGCTTTTTAATGATTGTTTAGGGCGTATGAGGGGTCTAAATGATTGCCAGGGCGTTGTGAGGCTTTTTAATGATTGTTTAGGGCGTATGAGGGGTGTAAATGATTTCCAGGGCGGTGTGAGGCTTTTTAATGATTGTTTAGGGCGTATGAGGGGTCTAAATGATTGCCAGGGCGGTGTGAGGCTTTTTAATGATTGTTTAGGGCGTATGAGGGGTCTAAATGATTGCCAGGGCGGTGTGAGGCTTTTTAATGATTGTTTAGGGCGTATGAGGGGTGTAAATGATTTCCAGGGCGGTGTGAGGCTTTTTAATGATTGCCAGGGCGGTGTCAGTGGGTTGAATGATTGTTTAGGGGGTATGAGGGGTGTAAATGATTGCCAGGGCGGTGTGAGAGGTTTACAGTTTCTTTCCCTCTCCTTGTTTCAGTTTCATTGGACGAACCCTGAGATGAGAACAGATTATTGGGATTCTTCGGGATTAAAGATCTATTATACAAACAAGCTGAGGAACTTTGATGCTGGAACGTGGATAACCGGCCAACAATATCTCGAGATTCCCCCACTTTCTCCTAAAATTGTCCAGCAATCTACCTGTTCACCTCGCTGTACTAAATATAAAGTCAACGATACAATTTACATCACTACTGGATTAAATCATATGCATTATTTAGGTAGGTTCGTTCTCCGTCTTTCTATACTGCATGAACTTTCCCCACAGCGAATTAAAAAATAGTTTAGCTATAGAACGCAGAGTTACTTTTGTTTTCATCATAAAATGGTAAATTTAAGTGCATTGCATAGTTAGATTGGTCCTGCTAGGTGAACTTTTTCCACAATGAATTAACAATAATTTTACAATTCACCTATTGTGTTTTCTTAAGTTTATTCATATTATGTTCTTTTTTGGAAGGTCATTTTAAATTTGGGCTACCTTAGATTCTGAATTCTCCCCATAATGATTTAAGAGACAATTTGGCTATAAATCGATATACTATTTCCAATCATGCTGATAAATAAGTATAGTTTGGTTGGACATAATTCTCAATTTTTATTGTATTAAAGGAGTATCTCAGTATGTAAAGTTAACACGAGCTAACGGTCAAGAAATTATGTTAACAAATGATGAACATTACAGCTACGATACACCTGTGATGCACACGTAAGAGAAATATTAATCATCATTTCTTATTAAATTAAAGAATTGAATTACTTAACAATAATAGTAGTGTTATTCTACCACTCTGTGAATATGCTTCTCAATAATAGTTTGCCATAATTATCATTGAAAATTGAATTAAAGTTAATTTGTAGAAGTCACACCATAGACCAATATCATTTTTCACAAATAACTTAAATGGTGATAGCTATGGTGTGAGGATCCCTTTAGTTTCATATCACCTGATACGGTATTGTGAAGCTATATTAATATTAGTTATTAATTAAAGGTATGACTCCCCGGTTCCTGTTTATCCTGGAGATAGTTTTGAAACGGTTTGTACCTACAGATCATTGTCCAGAAAGAAAACAGCATTTTTTGGAGAAGGTAGGGAAATACAGTTGCGTTTTTATGAATCATTTGGTTGGGGCTCACAGGCTTGTCAATGATAATAAATTTGAAACTGGGGAGGGATCAAATGCAGGCTAGATGTCTAGGCTTATCTTTGATAAGAAATTATTGGTAGTTGAAATGCGATTACAACTCAGATATTTATGCGGCTTAACAAAAATCATCAGATATTTCCGGAGCTTATTTTGACGAATATACATCCCTATTATTACCTTCCAGCTTCTCACTGTTTATTTTAGGAACATTTGATGAGATGTGTTTTGGTATTTTTAACTTTTATCCTGCCCAGAATATACGAGGAAGTCCAAATTGTGTCACCAGTAATGATTTTGAATTTTGTGATTTTGAAGATCGACATTGTGATTTTAGAGCATTGTTCAATCATTCCAACCCAGAGAGCAGAAAACTTTATGACAAGGTAGGCTAAGACAGAGAACATCTCATGTTAAAGCATGAAGGCGATGATGCTATACGAATGCTACTAGTAAAGTTAGACATTTTCGTAATAGCTGAAACTATGGCATCCTTGGAGCTTCATTGTAAAACATTGTCAAGCTTAAGATAACTGTAATGTATCTGTAATAATCATATTCTTGTCAGAAACTCCATTGTGAGAACCGGTAGAGCGAATGTGTATAAATCATGCGCTCATATTTGATTGATTTCAATAAATCTAAATGTTTAACACAGTGACTATAATAGTTGTTCGAATCAGTTTGCAATCTACGGATTCCTCACAAGTTATCATATTTTCCTTTTAAGGTGTTAAACGTCTGCTCTTATGATGGTCATTGTCGCCATGGCTGTCGAGCTGTAGTTGATGACGTCATGCGTAACCATGAATGTTTTAAAGATGGCGTAGCAGAGTCCATTACATTTCCAAGTATGGTACGGGGTGAGAATAAAGATACAGCCGAATCGTTGAAGTTTGTGACCGCTATGAAATCGTGTAAATGTGATGTTGAAAGTTCGATTGAATACAAACCTGTGATTAAAGATCAACTTCTAAAAGAAAACGAACAAAAAGTCGAAGTCGATGGAAGTAATCCTCAAGAAAAACCAACGTCTTCAGGGAGACAACTCTTGTTTTCAATGTATGTTTTAACTTTCATGTTGTCTGTAGCCATGAATGTTTCGTTATAAATATCCCTTTGCTTTGGTTTAAATACAAAAAATATTGCATTATCTATGGGTGACGTTTATATATTGTCAAATTCAGACTAATCAAAATAAGAAAATCTGTGGTGGCTACACTAAAAATAAAAGCTAATAAAAAAACGAAAGTCTACGTTAATTTTAATTCTTCAGGGAGACAACTCTTGTTTTCAATGTTTGATTTAACTTTCATGTTGTCTGTAGCTATGACTGTTTTGTAATAAAATTATCTTTTGCATCTTTGTTTTTATAATGATGAATACAAGAATATATATATGGCATTATCTATGAGTGCAGCCTTTACACCACATTGAAATATTGACAATTACATGATTCGATAAGACTCGCAAATGAATGGTACGATTAAGAGTTAAGTCCCCTCCCAAAAAGCCATGACCCTGAAAAAAAGTTTGCTTGAAAACTATAAAAATTAATTTATGATGGAACAAAGACTTAGAATTTTCCGAATTATTTTTGTGAATATCAAGGACATATGTTTGTACCTTCCGGTCATGTCTTACACCGATCGATTAACGAGAAGAGGACTTGTGCGAAAATGCACCAGTTCCCAATGATTCAAATGAGGCCACCATTTTCAATCACCATCCTTTTTCTCCAAATGGTACGAGATTCCTGATTGGATAAATTGAATAGTGACGTTTGGTCTGGTCATTAGTCTCTGAGGAGAGGAGATTATGAGATTGTGAAAGCAACGGTTAGATGTGATACACACTGTACACCGTTGATAAAGTAACATTGGTTCACATAGGATTCTTACAGCTGGTCGTTAACCAAGTCTCTTGGCTTTGATCTTTCCTGGTTGATACGTACCCATGTACTGCTGTATGGACTGGAATGATCAGCAAAGATGACTTCCAAAATCACTTTTGTTTTAACCAATTACCGGTTGCAGTATATCATGACCTTGTCATGGCAAGCAATCTACAATTAATAACTTTCCTGGTATTTTTTCCATTTGATGATTGTAATAATTATAACTGAATTCTCAACCAATCAAATTTAGAGACTAGAATATGGAATATCGAATTTGAATTCTCCACAGTAAATCGTTGGTGCGTGTTTTGAATACAAAATAATCCATTATCCATACAGCTGATTCGAAAACTGAGCTGGTGATTCTAAAAATATTGCCTTAAGGTTTTCTTTCCCCCATAAATGATATACACTCAACTCACAAGAAATGGACAAACATTAGATCAGGTATGTACACATAAAAGATTCATATCGATAACAGTTTTTAACCAGGACAAACACCCAGTGCCCTTTCATGACCGGTATATATTTTACTCCTGAATAGATTGCGAGATGTATGACACTTAAGGCCCTTTTACACGGTAAAGCACGGAATACATCTTGCTTTATAAACCATAAATTACCGTGTCAACAGTGTTAGTACAGGAGTTGTATATTCCACAATGTGTTCTATTATGTACAGCAAGTTGTATGCAACATTTTATCTCTGACCAATGGGAGCTCAGGTTTAAAGTTATAAAGGTCATCACTAGGATTGTTTGGTGGGAAGGTATATTAATTGAGAAGGAATAATTCATGTTACTTGATATACTGTGTATCCTACCAGGAATATATGACAAAAGTTGTATACAGCATATAGTATATACCTCGCTTTATTTACTCTGAATAGGCCTTTGACGGGATTGTAAAGTGGCTTTTGACTTCTATTTGCTTTATTCCAAGTTTCGGTGGATGTTTTAAGTTCCTGTAATTATAGAAATATCCAACAATGCGTATGTGACGTCACTGCTGCAGAAGCTAATGATAATGAAGAAGGGACTATACTTTTGTCTGTTTATAGAAACGCCAGACATCACCTAACTCTGAGTTATATTCTAGAGGGTGATTCACTGTTGTATTATTGTCTGTTTATAGAAACATCGTATATCACCCAACTCTGGGTTATATTCTATAGGGTGGTCCACTGTTGTACTATTGTCTGTTTATAGAAACATCGTTTATCGCCTAACTCTGGGTTATATTCTAGAGAGTGGTCTACTCTTGTAATATTGTCTGTTTATAGATACAATGGAAATCACCTAACTCTTGGTTATGCTTCACAGTGGTGCAGTTTAATTCAATAAGATTGAAAGAAATATGACAGCCTCAGTAAGACATCCTATTTAAGGTGATCATACAAAAAACAACTCAAACAGGCGAAGTCAAAACAATAGTTGTTACAGTGCATCTTATTATCCGGCCGGGTCAAACCTTTCTTCATACTCAGCTGAGATACTCAGATACTCAGGTGTATAATTAATTGTATCAAATACAAAAAATATAACTATTCCTATTAGTGCACAACATTTCTGGTATGATCACATTAATCTTCAAATTTTACCTGTTCTTGATGCGAGAGGCATTATCAATTTGAGTAAAAATCAAAAAGAGCCTGAGAAATAGTTTGTTGTCCTTGGACATGGTTATCTGAAAGTTTTAACTGAAGATATCTTACCAGTAAATATAAAGAATGCCACAACTATTTAAAAGGTTTACCTCACACCATAGTGATTACCAGTTGTGTATGGTTGCGAATAATGAAAATGGTCATAAATTTCGAACACAACTCACAACTCACAACTCGGTTACATGAGAGTACAACTCACAACTCAATTACATGAGAGTTCAACTCACAACTCAGTTACATGAGAGTACAACTCACAACTCAGTTACATGAGAGTACAACTCACAACTCATTTACAAGAGAGTTCAACTCACAACTCAGTTACATGAGAGTATAACTCACAACTCATTTACAAGAGAGTTCAACTCACAACTCACTTACATGAGAGTTCAACTCACAACTCAGTAGCATGAGAGTACAACTCACAACTCAGTTACACGAGAGTACAACTCACAACTCAGTTACATGAGAGTACAACTCACAACTCATTTACAAGAGAGTTCAATTCACAACTCAGTTACATGAGAGTTCAACTCACAACTCAGTAGCATGAGAGTACAACTCACAACTCAGTTACACGAGAGTACAACTCACAACTCAGTTACATGAGAGTACAACTCACAACTCAGTTACAAGAGAGTACAACTCACAACTCAGTTACAAGAGAGTACAACTCACAACTCAGTTACATGAGAGTACAACTCACAACTCAGTTACACGAGAGTACGACTCACAACTCAGTTACAAGCGAGTACAACTCACAACTCAGTTACATGAGAATACAACTCACAACTCAGTTACATGAGAGTACAACTCACAACTCAGTTCCATGAGAGTTACGTTCGAAACTTTTGACCATTATTCTTATTCGTAACCATACACAACAAGTTATCACTATGGTGTGAGGTCATCTTTAACAGGGTAAAGACTATCTGAACTTACAATAAATATCCTTTTAAATAGTAAATTTAGAAATAAGGTACCCGTTACATAACATTACATGACATCAACCCCTCGTGATAGGATAGCCCCTCCCCATCCCTCGTGATCGAGTAACTTCGTGAATCATGGTTAGATTGTAAACAGAAGGGTTGTATAAAATGGGGTAGATTAAACAAATATTTTAGATGGTGGACGATTAAGGTAAGTGAATATATACTCTAATATATCATACTATTACAAACATAGGTTAAATCATGTCCTGCAATGTAAAGGCGTATTTTATCTTTTATAAGATTAGTGGTTTGTATTTGGATATTTGGGACTGATTATCGCTTTTCAAATTATAAGAACGGAATTTATACATTGCATTTTGAATTCATCGTTTTTAACAACTACCTTCATAAACTGGAAAATGAAATGAGATGAATGGAGTTTAACGTCCTACTTGTCTGCAACATGTAGGCTAATGAAAACGGCAACGCCATGCAAGGTGTAATGAGGGAAATTTTGTCGAGGGATCTTTTACGTGAACAGCCTGCAGTGTAGCACACAGGGTCTCGGTTTATTGTCCAATCCATGAGGAAACCGGGTAGAAAAATCTGAAGGTATCATCTCGACCTATACCCTGAACCTTCAGGTTAGCGACAAAACGTCTAACTAACCTAGCCACCGCGGCCCCCACCATAAACCGGAAAGAAGCATCCGAGATACGATTTGTTTATGTTCTCCGGAAATTAACTTGATGGCCGGTTAAATACTCAACTTTTGTTTAAATTTTTCTTTCAGAGTTAAAATGTTTCGTCTTGTGATATTTGTGACTCTATTAACAGCAATCTGTGGATATTCATATTTCCAAGAAAAGATTCCCAATGGAGATTTCATTCCTCATCCCTGTAAACCAAACTTCGTCTGGAAAGGAGTCGGACATCAGAACTGGGCCGGGGGTGGACCAAGGAATCAATTTGGTAAAGATTTCCTAGCAGCAGGGAAGAAGGTTAGATATCAGTATTTTTTTTAATACTCACTTATGGTTGATATACAACCAATATGTTGTTTTGAATTTCGGGTAGTCGCCGAAATCAAGATGGTAGATATTGAAATAGATCTTTGAAGATAGAAAAGAATGACAGGTGCCCGTGAACAGAGTAAGAGCTCAGAGTATCCATTAGGACAGCATTGCTGGGTTTAGAGCGAAAATTTATTTAAGTTAAAAAAATCAAAATAACGGATGTATTCTAAAACATATTTTTAAAGAAAAATGGTGACAAGCATCGACGTTTTAACTACACACTCTTGATTGAACCGACGTTTACTTTATATAAATAGCCTTGTATGATCAAACTAATCAAAACGATGGTTTTATTACGACAGATTCATATATAACAAATATTTACGAGTGTGTATTTACAAAACAAAACGTATGTAGATTCTTGTTGATTGGCAGATTCGAGAATCACGTGACACCGTGAATACATAGTACGCCAGTCCTTAATACGAGAATTACCTACTAAAATGAAACACGGTAGAAATATTTTACAATCATTCCAGTGGACAGAAGAATTGTGTAGAAAAGATTCGGATGCTGATGGAAAGACTAACGGTCAAGAATTGGGTGATCCAAACTGTATCTGGAGACCAGGAACCATCCCCGAAGGAACTGTGACAGGAATCTCCCACCCAGGGGTTTGTGATCCGTGGGGTAGTCCACAGTGTATGGATAAGAATGACTGGGTGTCTTGTGAAGGTGATGAATTTAACTGTCCAGCTATACACGAGGAAGGTAAGACTTATAGTATCACAAGCCAGGACCAGAATTGGTCTCCCTAGTCGACATAAGATAATATGTTAAAGAGATTGTA